TAACAATCTAAGGTCCCTTTCTCACATGTATACATACGATGGCCAATTTAAACAGGAGCCAATCAACCTTCCAGCATGCCTTTGAAGTGTGGGAAGAAACCGGAGTACCCGGAGGAAACCTACACAAGCACAGGGAAAACATGCAACTCCTTGCAGAGAGTTTCCTGATCGGGATTTAAACCGGGGACTCTTATGTGACTAAATGCTAAGGGCAGAAAGAAAACTGATGCTGGAAGATGTGAAAAAGTGTTTGACAATAAACTATGTTCTTTGAAAATACCTACCATTCACTATCGCCACAAGTCACTGCAGCACCATCTTACACATTGTATGGTACACTTTATTTAAAGGATATCTAACCCCCCAAAAAACAAACATTTTATATATGTAGTGATTGCTGAGAAGAAAGGGGGAAGTCTTCCAGCATGACTTCATTTGGGTCTCATGTGGCTAAATGCGAAGGGCACAAAGAAAGTTGATGCTGAAAAATTTGAAAAGGTGTGTGACAATAATTTATTGTCAGTAAACCATGTCCTTTAAAAAAACCTCGCCATTCACTATAACCACCAGTCACTGCAGCACCATGGTATACATCGTATAGTACACTACACTAAACCCAAAAGCAAACATTGAATATACAGGCAGTCCCGGGGTTACGAATAAGATAGGGACTGTAGGTTTGTTCTTAATCTGAATTTGTATGTAAGTTGGAACAGGTAAATTTTTTAAGTGTTGGGAGGAATGTCCTCTAATGCAATGCTGATAACGCGCTAGTACCCACACCCTGGTAAGTCTTTTTTCCATTACTCCTTTACCTTTCCTTGCACAGTCACCACTTGGTAGTGCGCTTCTGTATTTTTTGTCTTTTCGAACATTTTTTAAGTGTAACTCAAGCCAAACATTTTTTTGTTTTTTTGTTTTGGATAGCATAGGGAAGGGTTAACCCACTGTAAAGTTTGTTTTGCTGTGTGTGCTCAGAAGATTTCACCTCACTTTCTGTCCCTGTGACAATTGTATTTTGAAAATTTATGGTTCGGGTTCAGCTTCAGTGGAGACACCTTTTTCCTATGATCACTCTTAGGAGTGAATTTCCCTTCCTGGGTAGATTTCCTCTCACTTTCTGTTGTCTCAAGGACAGGAAGTGAGATAAAATCTTTCTAATGAGGATACAAACAGCAGTAAAAACCTCACAGCGACCCGGAAGAAGAGGTGGGCACCCCTCGTCTGCATGTCTAACAAGAGCCAACTTCCTCTAATGTATGTACAGCACTACGAACAAGACCCAAAAAGGCGGGCACCCCTCATCGGCACGTAGCATTACAACTACCCCTACTGTACAGTAATAGCCTCCATTTGTAAGTAGGAGTCATATGTAAGTCGGATGTATGTAACTCGGGGACTGCCTGTATGTAGTGATTACTGAAAAGAAAGAACCCAGTTCCATCAATCCACCATGTAATGGAGCTGACAAAGAGAGACATGTTTGAAGTTCAGCCTGTGTGAAAACTGTGGCTGCCCCCATAAATAGAATGGAGAAATTAGTGTAGACATGAAGGGATGTGGAGTGTGCTCTTTACAGAGTTACCAGGTGAAAATAAAGGGGAAAACCTTGAAGAAACTAATGCAGCCACTGGATCAATTGATAGATAAACTGCAATATATTAAAGCCCAGTGGAAACTTTAGTTTAAATCTGCTATATTCTACGGGCATCAAAACAAAAGGGGTTAAATGTCGTACAGTTTATTTTCTTTCTAAAGCAGCCACAGCCTAACTAGAAAAACCTCTTCTGCTAGGTCTCTGTGGGGACGCCGTCGTCTCTCTGTAGAGGTCTAACATGCTATAGGTCTACTGAGTTAGACCTAATGCAAAGCAAGCAGCAAAGCTCATGCTCCCTGCTTTTGGAGAGCTCTAACTGCAGAGAGACCACTGCTTCCCCACAGAAAGCAAGTGTCCCCAGCAGCATGCTGGCAGGGGACAGGCTTTTCTAATCTGGCTGCGGTTGATCTTTTTATAAAACAATTTCAGTTGGGCTTGACATTTTAGTTTAGATACATTTTAACTCACAGAATTCTGTCCCTACCATTATGGTTGGTTGTGGTTGCCCTCCCCCCCCAGTCACCCTCTTATCTGTAGAACAGCAAAAATGACGGTTACTGCTGGTCTTTGGTCAGCGCAGGCAAACTCTGTGGAATTTGCTTGTTTTTCTCAGTCATTTATTCCAGACTTGACACAGACGGAGAGAATTATTGTCAGTGCTGATTATTTCTCACGCTTGGCATCCTCCGCTTCCCTCTGGGAATACCCACTTCATCTGATAGCCAGTCTCCAGGGTGCTGCATTCCATCTAACAGTGAGAAACAGCAACAAGAAGCTACAGCTCCGAACTAAATGAAATGAGCGCCAGTAAATCTGTCCCGGCATTTTAATTCTTGCTTAGTGAAAATCACATTAGCTGGATGTTTTATTGTATATTAAAACAGTCTTCTGCTACCTTTTATGTGTGGTGGAGGAAAATTCAATTTCAGTTTTTCTTCTTCCAGATGAGGATAACAAGCGGCTGAGCATTACATAGGGTATTTATCCATTATATTAAAACTACAGTCTATATAGCCAGGGCCTAGTGCCATGGGAGGTCCCCCCTAGTGGTATAGAGTGTACAATCCTAAGAGCAATATTGGGGCTTCCACTGCTGACCTGAAAATGCTAGTTGCTTGGCTCTGACCTTCTGGCTTTAAAGCCCATATCTGGTCAAACCTCTGCACCCTCCCTCGCATTAACCATTCTTTAATTAAAATACCTCCTGTAGCCCTTTTATGTTTGCTAAGTCTGTTTCCCTTCAACCAGTCTGTGTCTGAAATTACCAGTCACCTCTTCTTCAGGTCATCTACCATGCAGCCTAAAAGGATCCCACTGTGGACAGCCAATAGCAACTTATAAGAATTAAAAAACTTTGTGCCAGGACACTTAAATATCACACTTTTTTTGCATGTATAAATGAAATGCACTTTATTGATTAAGATATTCACATTGATGTAGATATAAGCGAATCGTAATTTGATCACATTTACGTGACACATATGAACTAGAATGTATTTTCTGACACATGGTACAGAGAGTTATAGTGCGGCACATTGTTAATATTTTTTGAGCCAATAGCAAGTGTTCACATCAGCCAGGCAGTGAAATTGGCACCTAAAAAGAACCCTCATGTTCTGTAGAGAGACCAGATGAAGATAACGACATCAGTGAGGGGAGGGTAGTTTACTTAATTTTAATTTCCAATGTCTCTGTTTGGGGGTGTTGGGGGGGAATAATCTTTAGGCCTAAAATGTGTTTTAACATGCATGCATGCAAAAAAAGAATATTATGCAAAACTGGCTCTGGCGGTGAAAGGGTTAAAGTGACACTAAACTTAGGAGTTCAAAGTAGCCACCACTCCAAGATCATTCCAGAGATCGACTACAACCTCAGTACCAATTAATAAACTAAACATGAAATTGTAATCCATCATGCAAGTGAGCTTGGAGCTGTGGTTACATTACAACACTCACAGGGACCATGGGGAACAAAAGTAGTCACCCTCCAGAAGGAAGGACAGTGTCAACACCAATACAGAGATGATTTGAGGATCTACAGCCGAGTGATACACAAATAAGATACATTTTTTGTTAACAGTTAAAGGAGAACTATGAGATGAGTGATTTCCACTCACCTCATAGTTCTAAACCGACCTGTGACAATGAGACTGTCACAGGTCGGCTCAGTAGATCGGGAGGTGAGAGAACACATACCGGGTTCCCTCACCTCTCGATCCTGTCACGGCTCTCTGCCGTGACAGGGGGAGGGGCTGGATTCCCCTCTCCCCGCTCCGATCTGCCAGCGCTGACTGGCGGAACGGACGGGGGAGGGGGCAGGTACAGCTGGCTCTGCCTCTAGATAGGCAGAGCCGCCTGTCACTCACGCAGCTGGGCGGATCCCGTCATCTACGTCGGGATCCGCTCCAGGTGCGGCGTCTCAGGATACTGCGAGCTGTAGCTCGCGGCATACTGAGCTTAGGGTAACGGGAGGACGCTAGTTTGTGTCCTCCCGTTACCCTAAGGAGAACTATGGGGAAAAACACTGACCCCATAGTTCTCCTTTAAGGTACTTGAATGCATTTTAAACTCTTGAGTTTAGTGTCAATTTAAATTCTTATTTTGTCAATGTTGCAATATTTCTGCAAAGTTGTACATAAAAGAAAATGAATGATATAATTTGTAAAGAACCTTGCAATGCTTTGTACCAGTATAATTTTAGCGTCATTATTACTGCAACAAATTATAGGATATGATACATACTTATCTATAGTTCTACAAATTATTTAATATATTGTATACTGTATAATATAACAATATATTTACTTTATCCTAAATAATGACAAAGCTATTGCTGAATAAACCAGTCCACAGCAGAAATGTAAAGCTCTGTTCATAATACATATACAGGTGTGAGAGCTGACGTGGTGGATGGTAAACCCCCCAGATTAACTTTAAAGCTGAACTGTTTTTGGTGCTAAGAGAAACCAATATCTTATTTTGCCGGACAATATAGGGGAAGAGAACCAGTTATGGATGGCCACACACTGGTGGATTTTCATGTGAACGTTCATATAAAGGAAAAAAAACGCTCAGATTTTCGATAATGTTGCCAGAGACTTGACAAACGTAATTCAAAATTTTGTTTGATTTTACCATCCGAGTTTCCCGGATGAAAATTACATTCACTGTTGGAATTTTGTTAGTTCGAGAAAATTTTCCCTCCTGCTCCTAAAATTATTATTATTTTTTTTTAATTGGTCGTTTATTTGACCGCATTAACAATGAAAAAAATGTGTTTTCAGAATGTTCCTTTGATTTTCTAAAACGAAATTCTACTGGTGTGTGGCCAGGCTGTCCTTACTCCTGTTCTTCTCTGGGCAACTTCCCTATTCATCTAACTGTTTTTCTTTCCGCACCACCAGAATGGAGTCGATCCTGAAGGAAGTGCAGACTCTGCAAGCCTCAGCAGAACTACTTTGCCTGACATCTCCCTGGTACGTATGAGATGCTTAATTATAGGGATCCTTCAAAGTAAATGACAGTCATAGAAAAGAGCTGCTGCAGTATTTTTCCATCAAACCATTTCAATATAGTACACATCAAAGTCAGTACAAACACGGCTAATACTGCTAATAGCTTTACAAAGAACCTGCTTTATCTTCACTAGAGCCATGAGGCAGAGATCTGAAAATAGCACCAGCACATCCAGGATGATTCCTTCTTCCCCGAGGGCGTACTGCACAGCTCTAAAAATTAAAAGTGATGCATTATGTATGATCTCATTAATCTGGACCACTCCTGGACAGGTCAATAGCTTAGGTCAATAGGTTCAGCACAGAGAATCCATTTTGTATGCAGTGCTGGAGAATGACAAGAATTTCATGCTATTTAACTGCTGATTAACATGATAATTAGCCATTCAATTGTTAGACAGGACATGCTTTGAGCTGACATGCTAAGAAATTGAAAAACTATTTACATTTTTATTGAGTTTTTAGGTAGTTAAACGTGGTGACTGGGATCCTAATAAAAATCAAGCCATCTTTCCATTATTTCCAATATAATTTATTGTGTTATTAACAGCTGATGTTCATATTGTTAAATGTGATTTTAAAGCTGAGCTCCAGGCAAACAGCTCATAACACAGTTGAAATTAATATAAGGGAGCTGTCTTGTCTGCCAAACGACTTTCTGTCGATCTAGTTCTGAGATTCTGATATTTGCCACACAATACAATCCTGGCAGTTGGGTAAGTGAGAAGACCCCATTTTTTTCTGCTACAGAGGTATGTGTGTATATACTGTGTGTGTACATATTATATATATATATATATAAAAATTCAATTGTTGTTTTAACATACTCTTTCCTTGCTTCAGGGGCTCCCATTATTTTGCATAGTAGTAAAGTGCACACCATCATCAAAAAAGCAGACAGGGAAATGGCAATGGCTGGTGAAGTGTGCCAGGGACAGTGTTATGCAAATTCTGTGTTCTAAGTTAATGTAGCTCACAATTAGAACTACAGTGAAAAGGGAATCAAAAACTAATTCGTTTACATTTTGGCAGCTTTTATTTCAAAAGGATTTGCATTGCGGAGCCCTCTACAATGTCTAGAATAAACTGTAGTAAATTGGTTTGATGTTTTATGTACAGAATAGCTGCCATATGATGCCACAAAAGACTTTCAAATCTAAAATAAACCTTACCTTTTAAAAAAATGAGCTCAAGCTAACATACACAAATACACATGAGCAGACTCCATAGCTGTATTTTAGTTTTACAGCAGTTATAGTATATCTTAAGCAAAACCTTTTTTATAATTTGGATTAGGTAGGGGAGGGTTAAAACCGTTGTCAGTTTTTTTGTGTGTTTCCTTTACTTCCTGTCCTGCAGACTCAACAGGAAGTTAAGGGCTTATCTTTTCAATATACAGTATGTGGTGGAAATCCCCTCCTAGACATTTGTCACAAGAAAAAAAAGTGCCCCCATTGTAAGATTTTCCATCTATTCCTGTTCTGGTGGTAACTCAAAATTTTGTATCTACCCTCATTTTCATTCCTGCTAACATTGTTAATCAGGACAATAAGAGAGAGCGATTATCCCTAAGGAAGACACAAGCAGCAAAACAAAAAAAAAACAGGGATTCTAACCCCCTGACCACCCTATCCAAATCTAAATAAAAGTGTTGCCTTTAGTTAAACTTTAAGTTGAGCAATGTCTATGAAGCCCTTCAGTTGTATTACTAATGGTAAGTTGGCATGAATGTGAATATTTTTCCTCTATGGAATTTATATGTTTCGGAGCATTCTTGTGAATGACGTTAATTGCTCTTTGATGTAAATCACATTATAACAAACAGTATATAACACAGCGCCAACGGCTTGAGTTCAGGAAAGGAGACAGTCTGCAGTGATCGTGGTATAGGACGCTAACGAGGAAGCTCTCAATAGGTTTTAGGGAAACCTCAACACTGTAAAACAAAACACCGAGAGCGCCTCCATCGCGTAAAAACTTTTTATTAAAATAAATTTAGACAAGTCGAGTTAAAACAGGCATGAAACGATATGAACACGAGGGACTTAGCCAGCCGGCTGTTCGTCCTCCCTGATGGTTTACGCGTTTCTAAGGTCACGCCTCCTTCGTCAGAACCAATGGGGAGTGTTCTATTGGCTCCCTTTTATATAAAAGTCTTCATGACGAAACATGTCAAGGAGGAGTTAACACGCTGATGTCATCAAGCTGATCACTGGGGGAGAAGTTGTTTGCCAGTGGAGGAATTATACAGCTCTGTCTATTAAACCTTGAATTGACCCAGACTTCTCCAAAAGCGAGGAGACATGTAATGTTTTGGGAAAGCAGCAGGCGGGCCCAGGTGTTCTGTAATTTTGAGCCCGTGTTGAGCCGCGACATAAAAGGGAGCCAATAGAACACTCCCCATTGGTTCTGACGAAGGAGGCAAGACCTCAGAAACGCGTAAACCATCAGGGAGGACGAACAGCCGGCTCGCTAAGTCCCTCGTGTTCATATCGTTTCATGCCTGTTTTAACTTGACTTTTGTGAGTATTATTGCACTTGTCTAAATATTTTAATAAAATGTTTTTACGCAATGGAGGCGCTCTCTGTGTTTTGTTTTGCAGTGTTGAGGTTTCCCTAAAGCCTATTGAGAGCTGCCTCATTAGTGTCCTATACCACGATCACTGCAGACTGTCTCCTTTCCTGGACTCAAGCCGTTGGCGGTGTGTTATATACTGTCTTCATGGCTGAGTTGCTGTTGTTCCCAGTTGCTTCCACTTTGTTTTAATACCACTAACAGTTGACCGTGGAATATTTAGTAGCAAGGAGATTTAATGGATGGACTTATTGCACAGGTGGCAACCTATCGCGGTACCACGCTTAAATTCACTGAGCTCCTGAGAGCGACCCATTCTTTCACAAATGTTTGTAGAAGCGTCTGCATGCCTAGGTGTTTGGTTTATACACCTGTGGCCATGGAGGTGATTGGAATACCCGAATCCAATGATTTTCAATGAGGGTGTCCCAATACTTTTGGCAATATAGTATATATATAATTAGGGCTGGTAATGATTAACATTTTCGTGTTCGATTAATCTAAATTTTTTTAAATCGATTAATCGATTAATTTCGATCAATTATAACGCACATACAGATCCAACTACATTGGCCTATACACATACAGCACAGCAATGAAGTAATAAAATTAACTAGGATCACACTAATCCAGCTTGTTATTAATCTCACGTGCCCCATTCAATATGGCCACCGCTTGAGTGGGGCAGCTCAGAATAATAATCTGCTGGATTAGTGTGATCCTAGTTCATTTTATTGCTTCACTGCTGTATGTGTATAGGCCAATGCCTTGGCTGGCACTCGTGCAGAACAAGTTTATTGGGCAAACCTCTTAGTTGTAACGAAACCGGAAGTCAGGCGGTCGCAGAACTCGGCTAACGAAGGGAAGGGGGAGGAGTCCGGTAATGTCATGGACATCGACGTCACCGGACTCCTCCCCCTTCCCTTTGTTAGCCGACGGAGTCACTTGGGCCGGTGATCTGTCGACACTTATCAAGTTCTGCGACCGCCTGACTTCCCTCCCTCAAGGGACCCCATCTGACCCCCTACGAGGTCAATGGGCATTTGATTGTTTTGCATTCCCATACATGTCTATGTGGATGCAAAATCCATTCAAAGCCCACCTTAAAAAAAAGTAGTGAATGCGGCAACATTCATCTCATGAGTAATGTGAAGATACTTCGTTTTTGCAGCGAAGCCTGCAGGGCATTGCAATGATCGTGGGTGCAACACATAGGCTCTTGCATTGTCTTTGCCCATCCTCAGGTCTCTATGGAAGCTTGGAGGAAGTGCTACGGCTTGAAGAAGGAAGAGGGATTCCCTGGCAAGCTCTGCAGTTGTCTGTCTTCCACGGGACTTGTAGGAATTTCCTTAGAACAATCCCCGACCCAAGTGGCTCCGTCGGCTAACGAAGGGAAGGGGGAGGAGTCCGGTGATGTCACGAACATCACCGGACTCCTCCCCC